GTTAGTTATATTTCATTATAGTCGTGCATAACTAATCTACACTGAAAAGTAATTGGTATGCAAGCTGCTACTTTTTGATGACTGGTTCTTCCGGGCTGTGTGGCCGTGTTCTTGAAGTTTTGTTTCCTAACGTTTCACCAGCACCTGTGACCGGCATCTTCAGAGGGCAGGAGCACAGACAGGAGTGCAGATTCTGACACCAAAACAAGCAGCCACTCAGTAACCCAACCCCCCCACACACACACCCAATCCCCCCTCCCCCCCCTCAGATCTCTATAAATACCCACAAAAAGGGCACATCACTCTGGGCACAGAGAGAACTGCTCCTGTCTGTGCTCCTGCACTCTGAAGATGCCGGTCACAGGTGCTGGTGAAACGTTAGGAAACAAAACTTCAAGAACACGGCCACACAGCCCGGAAGACCCACACCAGCCATCGTATGCCGGCCGTGAAAGCCTTCGACAATACATAGATGTCAGGAAACAAAACTTCAAGAACACGGCCACACAGCCCGGAAGACCCACACCAGCCATCGTATGCCGGCCGTGAAAGCCTTCGACAATACATAGATGTCAGGAAACAAAACTTCAAGAACACGGCCACACAGCCCGGAAGACCCACACCAGCCATCGTATGCCGGCCGTGAAAGCCTTCGACAATACATAGATGTCAGGAAACAAAACTTCAAGAACACGGCCACACAGCCCGGAAGACCCACACCAGCCATCACATTTTGAAAGTTTTGCATACAATTGTGCATCCAAGAGTTTCTCAAGTACTTTCCTCACCAATTCCACATGCTCATCCAAGGTTTCAGTATATATCAGAATATCATCCAAATACACCAAAAACCCCTTGTACAAATATTCATGTAACAGTTCATTTGTCAGTTGCATAAAGACCCGCAGTGCCCCGACAGTCCAAAAGGCATTACTCGATATTGAAAACAAGCTAGGGGTAGCGAAACACTGTCTTCCATTCGTCCCCCTCCTTGATTCATACTCTAAAGTACACATCTCGCAAGTCCAACTTCGTAATAACCTTCTCGTTCGCCAAATGAGCCAATAAATCTTTCATTAGTGGGAGGGGGTATTTGTTCTCTTTACAAATGGCATTCAACCCCCTAAATCAGTGCACAGTCTTAATGAGCCATCCTTCTTTTCCCTGAACAGCACAGGTGCCGCCAGGGGGAACTTGGCAGGCTCTATGAAGCCTCTCTGTAAATTCTTGACAATGAACTCCCTAAGAGCCACCATTTCCTTCAGAGTCGTAGAGTACGTTTTTGGCGTGGAGTATTTCGCCCCTGCCTCCAGTTCTATTGCACACTCAGTTGCGCGATGAGGCGGCAGTTGGTCAGACTCGGTTTCACTAAATACTTTTGCCAAGTCTCTATATTGTTCAGGAATTGATTTGGCACCGTCTGAGCCTCCCTGGGTTGGGACTTGCACACTAGTTGCTGCCATTTCTGAGCCTGAGGTTTCAGCGGCACTCTCCTTTTTTACAGTATAAGGCCCATCCTGAAAAATCAGGCTCCTGGTGCCCCAGTCCACTTGAGGATTCCACCGTTCTAACCAGGACATCCCCAAGATCAAAAGGCGACCCGCAGTTGGTGCAACTAAGCACTTTAAAGTCTCTTGATGAGAGCCAATCCTCATCTCGAAAGCCTCCATGTAGTATTCAACAGGTTCCCCCCCTCCCACAGTAGATCCATCTAATTGTCTAAATATAATAGGTGTCTTTAATTTCTGCACCCTTAGCCCCAACCCATTCACCAGGACGGGGTTAATCAAACACCGGGTGCACCCAGAGTCTGTTAAAGTTGTCAACTCCGCTTTATGAGTGGTCCTCAGAGCCCTTATTTTCACCCCAACCATCATGGGACTCACCCGAATGTCCTCGTCATTTGAGTCTATATTTGGCTCCTCACGCCTGGGGTCCTCTGCCTGCTTTTGGGCGTGCTTTAAAGCAGGCAGCCAAAGTTGTCTGCCAGTTGCTCCTCATCCTCCTGTTCGTTCTCGATCATCAGCTGGATTGGGAACTGCTCCTTGGCTCCCGAGGTGGCTGTTCCCTTTTTCTCCGGTTTAGACAGTTTCAACGATTTGCTGGTTTGTTTAGGCTTCGTGGTTGGCTTCTGGGCTGATTTTTTAGGGCAGACAGATGCAGAGTGCCCCTCCTCACTGCAGTAGAAGCACAACTTTCCCACTGGCCAAGAACTCGATCCAGTCCCCCAGCTTTTCCACTTGCCTTCTGGGTGGCGGGGAGAAGTCGTCGACTTTGGGTGGGTTGCTGCACCCGATCCGCAAACTGCTAAGCATTGAGATTTCATCACTGAGATGTGGGCTATCCACCCTTGCAGCATCGTTGGGCATTTTCTCACCAGTGCCATCTCCCATAATTTGGGATTTAGCCCCTTCTGAAATTGGTTCATTTTCAATGATTCAGGCCAATCACGAAGCGTAGCTGCTAAACGTCTAATGTCAGATCTGTGATGTCTTGAAACCCAAGTCAAGTTCAAAAGGAAATTCATTTTTTGAGACGTACATGCAGCTTCAAAGCATTGCGGAAACTAAAAGCCCGCGCGTTCCCAATCTACGTTTACCCTCAGTTCTTAACCCCCCTTCTCCTCAGCCAGTTCTTGGTTCTCATGTTGGTACGATCTTGGACATTCCTGGCACCAGATAACAGTCCATCTGTGTTAACGGTTTCACCTTCCTTGTTCCCCCCTCCCCCCTCCTGAAATATGGCAGAAACGAAGCAAACAACTAATAAGCTGATAGATTGATTGCTGGAGGTTCTGACAGGTATAATCTAAATGCATTTTTGTGAATTTTTATTATTAATAAATAAGGTTTTTTTATTTCTATAAAAGCCACCTCTAACACACCCAGAATTTCTGAAGCCACTAGGGCAAGGCCAAAAAGTGAAACTGTTTTAACTGTATATAAAAAACCCCACCCCCCAACGCTGGCAAGGCATGCCACAGTCTATAAACAGGGAGCAAACTCCACTCCCTTCTAGCCCTGAAGATGTTACCTGGCTGGGTAATGAAACCTTTGCCAGAAAAGAACCCAACTCAGAGAACCCCAAGGACGCCACCGTTCAACCCTGAGCCATACACATTTGCTTCTATTGTATATATTGTCATTCAGCTACATTAGATAATTGATATTCCTTTTGTCGTGTTTCAGAAGTTTTGAAAGTATTACTTTCTCATGAGCATTGGAGCCAGGTTTGTTTTCTTCCCAAAAGGACGCAAATATGTGTAACCATCTTCAGTACTGGAAAATAGCCAAATTAGAACCAAAAGCTAGCCAGGACTCTCCAGTTAAGCCCCCAAGAGTGAATAATTAGTGTCCTTTTCATTCTAGTACACTTGCTAAAACTACATAAATGAGCTAACATCCCCTTGCTCTCCAGATCTATCTGTCTATCATCTATCATCAGCAACATGAAGGCCTTTGGATTCCAGGAGAAATAATCCCATTCATAACTACGCAAGCAGGAAGATTGGAACAATGCCTTTTTACCTAAGGAACAAAAATGATTTCACCATTTGCACCAAAAACCCAATTTGACAATTTGAAGGCTTTTTCTGCATGTTAGGTAGTAAACATTTGATGCCATGTGGGTCAGCCTCTAAAACTAACCTGTCCGCTAAGTCTGATATTGTTGAGGCTTGACGCTTTTTTGTGAAACCATTGTGGCAGATGAATTCCTGGAGGGAGTCAGTCTGCAGTCTCCCCTCTCCCCAGAGTGGAGGGTCCAGAGTCTTAGCCTCCACAGTTGGAGAAGAGGTCAGCGGCAACCGCATAGCTGGTAGGGTTCTTTCCAGCCTTCAGAATCGCTCTTACGTAAGCATCGTAGGGCCCTCTCTCTCTCAAAAGGTTTCTGATAGGCCTCTAGACTTCCTTATCTCCTTTTACATTTCTTATGTCCCTCTGGGTGGTGCTTTCTCAGTTTTCATCACAGAAATCGTACCACGTGTCAAGGTGCAGTTAAATCTCCTGGCTGAGCACCTGAAATTTCTGGAAGATTGATTTTATTCAAAAAAGTATCAGACAGGTCATCAGATTCTTCTGTATTTGCTGAATATACAGTAGCCCTTTATAACGCTTGAGACAATCACTGGGAATGATCCCTACAGAGTCTCTTCTCGTTGATACTAATTTGCTTACTATTTTTAGTTTGTTCAAACAAAAAACAATTATTTCTCAGTTCCCAAAACATCTGTTTCATACATTTGAATGACAATTCAGTATTTAATGCATGTAATTGATCAAAATCCCACTTAACTGATCCGAAAGTATGGGATGCATCAGGTCTGTGAGATCTCACAGAACATTCATGGCGTCTTCTCCCTCCTGCACACGCTCGGGGCCCCGGGTCTTTGAGGACTTAACGAAAAGACAGCAGGGTCAGGGCCATCCTGATCTACAGAGAGAATATTCCACAAAGTGGGTGCTACGGCAGAAAAGGCACATCTTCTAGGTCCCAGTGACCGGCATTCCTTAGCCGACGGGACCTGAAGCGGGCCCGTCCTGCCTGACCGGACGTGAACTCCTGGACATTTGCATGAGGAATGTGCAGTTGGGTCTTGGCTTTGGGGCCACCTGGGGCAGGAGCTGTGCCTCCTCAGAGGTGGAGGCACCATTCTCCACAGGCAGCCTGGGAGGGCACCCTCACTGCCGCCTCCTTTCTCTCTCACAGGCTCTGGTGGTAGGGGAAGCTGAGTCTGGCCGGCGAGAGTCTCCCAGCAGCCAGCAGGTAGGGGGGCTCTGGGGGCGAGGCCAGTCAGTGCCCGCTGCCCCTGGCAGCCAGTCAGCCTTTCTCTTTCTCTCTGTGCTTTTCTTTCTGGCCTGACCATACTCTAGTGCTCTGCCACCCCCTGGCCTTTCCACCTGGCGGGCAAAGAGACACGTTTTGTAAGTGCGCCTGGTTGCTGTGCCTGCTCTCTGTCTCCGCCCTAGCTCCTCTGTCTTGCTTGGGGGGGGCTCTGGAGGGCAACCCCCTCCCTTTTCCTCCCTGAGGGGGTGCTGTGCAGCACTGGAGGGTCTGAGGAGTCAATTCTGGGCTCAGCCAGGGCCTCTGGAGGTGTGGAGGTGGGGAGGGCTGTTGGGAAGAAGGTCCCTCTGTTTCTCGGATCAGCTCTTTGCGCTCTGCTGCAGTCCCTCCGCTGGCCTGTTCGTAGCTGCCTTGGGCCTCCGTCTCCTCCGGGCACGAGCTCAGCCAGGCGTCTGACCCCCTTCTCTCTCTCGGGTGCATGCAGACCAAGCCTGGAACGATTCAACCGGTCTCTCGCCTACGCCTGAGCTCGGCCGTGGGCCCCACTGAAGGGCAGGATAGTCCCAATCCATTCCAGCAGCCTGAGCTGAACTCCAGCCCCAACGGTCTGGTAAGTCCCCGGGAGACCTCTCCTGCCCCTGGAGCCTCTCCGGAGTGGGAGGGCGCAGTGGCCTGTGGGAGTTCCAGGGGAGCCTCCGCAGGCACTGGGGGGTCCTCCCCGAGCCGTGGGGGCCCGATACAGTTGGTCAGTTCCACCCCCCGCCTCTCCCCGCAGCCTCGGCAGCCCAGACCCCTCTCACCCGACGACCCTCCCTGTCAGCGCCAAGCAGGCCTACAAGGCCTTTGCCGCCGTCCCAGGATCACATCTGCTGTTAGAGCTGGAGGTGAGGCAGGCTGGGCCTGGGGCTCGGGGGGTCTGCAGTCCTTGCCTGAGCCGTGCTCACCCCGTGGCCTGCCCCTTCCCTCCCTCCCTCCCAGGAGCTGCCAGGCCAGAGGAGCGTCGAGAAGGTGCCCTCGGTCTCTTCTGAGGTAAGGCGCATGGGCAGTCCAAGCGGCCTCGGTCCAGGGTGCCTGAGCTGAGCTGAGCTGACCCCAAGCGCTCTCATGCCCCACTCCACAGGGTCCGTGGCTGGGTGGCCTGCACAGCCCGGAGCAGCGGACCTTCCGCGAAAGACAGAAATACTTTGAGCTGGAGCTGAAGCAGCAGCCACCTGCTGAGAAGCCCCTCAAGCGAGTGTCTTTGGTCGGGGAAGAAGACTTGAAAAAAATGAAAGAGGAAGAAGGTGGGCTCTGCAGGCAGGGTGGGCAGGGTCCTTCTGGCCAGGCTGCCAGAGGTGAGCCGCTCCCTTGCCCACTCCTTGGCAAGAGGGCCGAGCATACAGATGGCAGGAGAGATGAGGG